TGTAGCCTAATTATAGTCACGGTGCAAAATTGGTACGCTGATCGACTTTAATAGGGAATTTTCATTAGGATTTTGTAATTATCATAAAAAAGAGAGGTTATATAAAATGTGTGCAATTTTTCTCTTATAAATTTTGTTTCATCATAGTCAATTACTATAACAGCGGATGAGGACATAGTCTTACATTGAGAGAACATCTATAAATCTTGCGTGTTCTTTTGTATCTTTATTTTTTATTACTATTTTATTGCTTTTAATGATGTAAAATTAAAATTTCTAATTCTCAACGTAGCTCGTTATCTAAGTCTTTTACATAATCTCTATTATTTTAAAAGAGGCAACCCACTATTTACTATTCATTTGTGAAGCTTTTTGTTTATCCCATTTCTACCTTTTTTTTTCCATTTCTACCATGTTGCCTCTGAATATCTGATTTCTTCTTGGATAAGCCACTGCCTATTGTACCTATACTCACAATTGTTGACTTTACATCCCTACTTTGCTCCTGAAGGAGACCAAAAAAACAAACGACAATTGCTTTTACATGTTTTGCCCACAACATCAATTTCAACTTCGCTACATCAAATCCCTACCGATTGCAGTACAAAATTCCATTGTTGAGTTCAGAAAAGTAATTGAAACTGCCAAAAAAAAAAAGAAAAAAAAAATTCATAGGTTGTAATCGTTTGTACAAAGTTAAGAGATACGTTACAGTTTGCAACTTCTCCCACACATTCTCTACTTCAGCTTACAACAACTATTTTAGTTTAAATCGGCCATAGGCCTTTTGAGGGTTGTAAGAGCTGGTACAAAACTGCGATATAAGTTACATTTTCCTGATTTGAACTTGTGTGGAAGTTTTCGAATAGACATCCTGAGGTATGTATATTCTATATTCCCAGAGGACATTGAAAAGGAATTTCGTTTAAATCATGGAACTTGGTTGCCAGTTTCATGTATTTCTATTAGTTTTTCACATATACAAATAGGTTAATATATTTCATAAGAATCTCATTTCTAGTTATAAACAGAGTTATATGCCCTAATAACCTTCTTCAATTTCTGTTAGTTGCTTTAAGCCTCAACAGTTCCATAACTTAGCATATTGTTGTCATGAATGTTCCGAATACATGTTTCGATGGATGTTACAATTTCTATTTTCCGACATTATTGATTGCAACTAAATTTCGTATCAGAGTGATTGGTGGTAAATGGTAAATC